AAAAAAAAAAAAAAAAAAAAAATTCAAACAAAAGCCAACACACTCCTCTGCCCCCTCCCAGCAATTTTCAACGCAAACCGCGCCTCAGATAAGCGTTTTCCCGCTTTGATACTTTCCAGGACCCTATGCATCATTCATCATTAGTCTAGTTTCTTTCACTTCTCTCTCTCTCTCTCTCTCTTTCTCAAGAGAGAGAGAGAGTTCTCAAAAGAGGTAAAAAGGGGGAAAAGGAAAGAAAGAAAAAAAGGGAACAAACCACTCAACACCAACAACCCTAAACCCCCTACACCCAGCCTTCGCAATCTCCCTCTGTAACTTGGTCGCAGACAAGCCTCCACCAGCACCGCTTATACCCGTACCTCCACCTCCACCAGTAGAAGAAGTAGAAGAAGTATTAGGCCTGCCCACAATGATATGCGTCACCCGCCTCGAAACACCCAGCGCGAGAGACGCGCCGTGCGCAACGAGAAGATGGCGGAGGGCGTGGTCGGAGATGAGGGGGGAGGAGGGGGCGTTGAGGTGGACTGTTAGGTTTGAGAAGATCTTTTTGGTTTCTTTTTCTTCTGGTTTGCTGGGTTCTTGGGGGGTGTTTTTGGACTGGGTATCCTTAGGGTTGTTGATACTTGGTTGTATTTGGGGGGTGTCGTGGATTTGGATTTGAGGTTGGTCTTTTGATTTGGAGTTGATAGCGTTGGTTGTGGTGGTTGTGGTGGTGGTGATGATGTTAGAAGGTAATAAGCAAGACTCCTTCTTGCCATCATCATTCAGTAAAGACCTGGAGGAAGAAGAAGAAGAAGAAGAAGATCCCTTCCCAACAGAAAACATATCCCTAATATCCCTCTGCCCTCTCTCTTTCCCATCTCCCATACCTTCCCCTCCATTTCCCAAAGAAGGATGATCATTCATCCACACCCATTCCCCACCCTCATCATTACATTCCCTCTTCTCACCCCCCACAGAAGAAGGCACATAAGATGAAAGCGTATTAGAAGAGGAGGAGGAAGAAGTAGAAAACTGCACAGCAAGCTTCTCCTCCCTCGTCCTCCTCCACGCCGTCCCAGTCGAAGTCTCACCCCTTTGATGGCCCGTCGAGGATGAATTCCAGGGATCGAAGACGCGGTGGTTGTTGAATGCCACCTGTTGTTGGTGTTTTCTTATCGGGGGCATTCTGCTCTATCTTCCGTCTCTTCGAGATCTTTCCTTGTAGATCTTTTGTTTCTTTTTCGAGTTTTGCTTCTTTGACGGGTTGGATTGGGTTGGTTTTTCTGGGAGGTTGTTGTGGTTGTTGTTGCTATTGCTGCTGCTGCTGCTGCTACTGCTGCTGCTGCCTTTTCGTCCGGGGTTGAGTTTTGGTGAGTAACGTGGTTGATTTAGTCAGAGCAAGGAGAACCGAACCATGGAACTGATAAGACTCACTGACCGAGGAAGGCAAATGATGTCGACTTGTTGATGTTTTTCCCGTTTCGGTTAGTCCCAGGTTTTGTCATCTATTGCCTGAGGCAGCTTCAATATCGAGCCTACAACTACATACTCCCGTACATAGAGTGGACTGGGGTGGGATGGATACACCAGGGTCTCCTGTGCAGAGTACTTACAGATGTGTGGGTACTGGGCACAGTATGTGCATTCCATGCCCTGTTGATGCAGTTCTATTTGACAAGGTGTTATTATGTATGTATGTTGTATATCTGTGAGATGAGTCCATATCGTGGATGCATGATCCTTGTCTATCACACTGATCTGCTTCTACATACAGATATACTTCTCAAGCCAAATTGTCATAAATCCCATAAATTTTAATGCAATCCATACATACACACTCAGTACCCAGCTAGAACCAGGGATGCACGATAGAGATGAGATGAATAGCACCAAAAGTGAATCAAAAGTAAAAAAGTAAAAAAAAAATCAAATGAGAAAAGCCACAACGATATAATAAATCTCGTCATAGGAAATTCGTCACATCATAGTCGTTAAATATAAGTCCTATCCAATCCATCCATCCATCCATCCATTTCTCTCGCAAAACACGCATCAACCAACAACGACCCGCAAGATGAGAACCCAATAGCACCAAACGCTGACCATCCCTTCAATCAATCCAACAAAAGGAAAGCCCGACCGGGTTGAGACCGGTGACCAGATGAAACGCTCCAACATTAAATGATCATAGACTCGAACAGTCATATTCGAGTCATACCCATGCATAAATGGTGCCCATATTAGATCAGATCCAACATCTGTTCAGCATTAAGGCACACATAACGCGAGGCAGTCAACCGGCATGGCATGCTGTTGCGGACCGGCAGACCGGTCGTAAACATCCTGCCTATTCTGCATGCCGAGACCCGCGGGAATGCGTCGTCTATGGGGAAAACAATGCAAGAACATATGAAAAGAAATCCAAAAAGAAAAACCAAAGAAAATCGTGCTGCATATCGACCATGCAAGCTGCTCTACCTCCCGGGAGGCTGTTTTTCACCTCTCTTTTATCGAAACGAAAAGAAATTTTTGTTGTTTTGTGTGATTTGTTTTGTTTCTTTTTTTCGCTTTTTTTTTATTATGTTTTTTTTTTAATTCTCTTTTCCTCTCCCAACCTTGATAATATTGGGTTGACTATCTCCGGCGAGACATCACACCTCCCGCCTTCATCGGTTGCAATCCTGGGGGAACACTACCGACTGGACCACCCACCGGCGACTCGGTGATCGTCTTCCGGCGCTTGCCGTCGTATTCGGTGCCACGGCTGTCCGGTCGCGGGATGCGGTCGACATCGTCGTCTTCCCGCATCCGCTTGTTCGAACCCAGGGAGGTGTTGAGTCCCGTGGAGTAGCTTGGTGCCGGGTTGGACGCAACCGAGTAGTTGTCGAGGGACGTTCCGTTGGCCGAGGTCCCCCGGGTGTCGCTAACAATATTGTACAGGCTGCTGGCAGCTGCTGGCCGAGGAGGCGTGTTATAGCCCGACGCCCACTGCGGGGGAGCTCCGCTAGTCCTAGGGGTCATCCGTCCCGAGCCGTTCTGCTGCGATGGGGACCCGGTCAATTCCGGAGTCATCTGCGGGTGGTCGCCCGTCAGGCTGCCAAGGGATGGGTTCGTGGTATAGGTGTAGGACCCCCGGCTGGCGTGGTAGCCCGAATTGTCCTGCTGAACGTAGTCGGACTCATGCTCCGGGACCGCTTCCCCGCCGATGTGCCCGTTGGTCTGCGAGTACCGCTCGGGCTTGACATCAGCCGGCTCTGGTTCCGGCTGTCCGCCCGAGGCGCGGCCCGACGGCGGGCCCATGTCGTTCTTGAGGTACCCGCTGGGCATCTGGCCGTAGGGAGACATCGCCGGTTGGGCAAGGGGCTGGTGCGGAGCATACTGGGCGTGGGATGGGGGTGCCGCGGAGTAGTACGACTTGGCACTGTCATACCCGGACTGGCCCTGGAACGACGGCATGCCCCCCAGGGTCGAGCCCGGTGGGGTGGTCGCCGGCGTGGAGATAGACCGGCCATTGCTGAGCGTCGTGTCGATAGACAACGGCTGAGAGTGGGGGACGCCGGAATTCATGCCCTGGTTGCCCCATTCGTAAGAGCTCCCTTGGTTCGGAAGGCCGATGACACCCGACGCACTGGCGGGGGGTGTGAGGACGGTGTGGCCACGGTCCAGCGATGGGCGAGCGCCGTGCTGAGAAGAAACGGCGTGAGGCTGCGGCATGTGAGACGGAACGGGGGTTTGAAGCGAGTGATGATGGTGCAACGGCGGCTGGGGGCCCTGGGCAGCCCGGGCGGCTGGCCCTTCCAACCGTCGCTGCTGTGATTCTTGCACCACCAGGTTCGTACGCGTCTGGTTCGTCGGGTGGTAGAGAAGCCCGCCGATGTTGTGAACGAACAACGGATACAGCAGGTCGGTGATCTTCTCCTTGTTGGCGAATTCTAACGCCCGTTCGAACGGGATCCACACGCCCTTGAGGTGCATCGGCCCGATCTTGACGACATGACGGATCTTCTCGCTCTTCAGAATCCCATCCCGACGGCCTCTCGTCATGCCGGCGACGTTGAGCAGCTTGGTGCCGTTGATCATATGGTTGTCTGAGGGGAACAGTCAGCACATTCATACCCCGGCCACGACATACGGGGGGTATTCTCCAGCGGTGGACAGCCTACCTTCACGTCGGGCAACACAGACACCCTTGGCCTCGACCTGATAGCAAAGACTGCCTTCATCTTCCCACAGGGTGGCCGTGACGCGCGGCTTGGCCCCCGGGGGAGCCCCCTGGCCTGTGGTGTCGGTGACATAGCCTTGAATCGGAGGGCCCGAGTGGTTTGGGTAACCAGGCGGTGCCACCGCGTGGCTTGCGACTCCTATGGTAATCATCAGAATAAAATGTCCCTGTTGGTGGCAACATTGGCCCTGGGAATTGATCCAACCTACCCGGAAGAGGGAGTAATTGAGGGGGAACCTGGCTGCTCATGGAGCTCGGGGGACCCGGTTGAGACGAGGCCACACTATGCGGGTAGGCATACTGCGTGTATGAACTGGCCGGGCCGTAGGTGGTCGAGGCCGGCTGCAGCACCGACGGTTGCTGGTGGTACTGATAGTGCGGCATGCCACCGGCGGTGGCGGCCTGCGACCCGTACGCCTGGGCGGACGACAGATGTGACGAGTGAACATCCATGTAGGGCTGCGTTTGGTTCATGCTGCCGAGCGGGGTCGGGTTCGGATAGTAGCTGTCACCGACGGGGGTTTGCGAGATGGCGTACTCCTGCGGCGCGGAGGAATCCAAAGAGAGTCGGCCCTGACCACCAGCCGAGAGGTCGGCACACGGCGGCGGGCTTCGGGGTTCGTTGACGACAGGCGCGGATCCCGACAGACTTGTGCGTGCGCTCACGTTGTTGGAACCGGGGTCTTCCCAGCTCGTCCGGTAGGACTGGGCCGAGACGGGCGGCTGCGAGGCTGTCGGTAAACTCAGGGCGGGGAGTTTATCACCAGATAACAGCGGTCTCTCCGCGGCGTGGTGGTTATACCAAGGAAGATCAGCAGGACCTCTGGTGTGGACCTGCGAAATCGACGGCAGCTCCAGTTTTTCGGTTGGCGGGGAACAGCTCTAAGAATCGTAGCAAGAGGGAGCGGTGGACGTCGGACTCGAAATGCGTCCAACGTACCAGTAATTGGGTGAGTAAAGGCGGGATGTGTTGGCCTTTAGGTCATGCGATCCAGACGGATGGCAGGGAATTCAGGTGATGTTCGGAGGAACTGTAGCGGATTCGTAAATAGAGATAGGAAATTCGATGGTAATCAGACGGCAGAGAAAAGTCAAAGCAAAAGTGCAATCGTGGCAAGCTCGTGGAGATTCGTAACCGTAAAACGCTCGAAGATGACTAGGCAACTGGATCAAGACAAATCGCTATGCAGAGAGCATGCACCAAACTTTAACATCCAGATAGTGAAGATCTTGGTCGTGGCAAAAGACACCATGAAATCCAGGCGGACCGGGCGCTTTGCGGCTAGTCAACAAAATCGCTCAACCGAATCAAAAGCACGAAATCATGGGGATCGTTTCAGGTCGTAAAATGTGGGGCGGGGAAGAAGCAGGGACGACGTGATAGTCCAGCATCAAACGTCGACTGCTTTGAGAATTTTGTAGATGGGATCGGGGTAGAGGGTTGTCGAGAGGGCAGCGCAGAGTGTGACGGAGAGGCGGTCCGACTCGTCGCAATTCGTAACAGGTCGTGTCAGGTCGTTGAGCAGAATCCAAGCAAGTGGCGTCA